GAGGCCACTCTTGTGCGGGCGCCCGCGTCGAGCTGTCTGGGAGACTCTGTAGACGCGCGCGCCGCGGTGATTGTTAGTTTGTTTTGTGAGCGAACGGGCGCGTCTCGGGTTGCGGCCGCGGTTTCCTTCCAGCCCTCCTGGCGGCTCCGGCGCGAGCGCTCTGGTCGCGGGTGCCTTTCGCGGCCGAGACGCAAATGAGGTGGCGTCTTGGCGGGAGCTGGTGAGAAGCGCACTATTCATGAGGCACTGCTGCCGAGGTCGACTTCCGACAGCGTGCGAACGAAGCTGTCAGTAATGGAGGCCGGCAATAACACGCGGGGCTGCGCAAATACGCGCCGGCCAGTCGTGTGCCCGTGCGGACGTGACCCCGATGGTAGCACCCCCCCCCCCCCCCTTCCCGTGGAAGGGGAGCCGCTGGAGCGGAAGCGCGAGGGCGGACCCCGGCCAGCGCCAAGTGCACATTAGCGGGCCGCCGCCGCCCCGCACCCGGCCATTACCTGCACCTGCCTCGGCGCGCGATCGATGGTCGCCCCAGGACGCCCCTCCGAGGTCCGCTGCGGGCCGCCACCGGCTTGCCGGCGCACAGTTCTCTTGTCCTCAGCGTTCGCCCGCACGCGATTGATCGCGCGGTTGCCTCGCCTGCGTGCCTCGCGACGGACGCGCTCGGCTGCCGCCTCTCCGCGGTCGCGTTCTCCCGCTTTCCTTCTGGGCCAGGGGACGCGTTCTTGCCGCACATGCGAAGAACGCGTCCGCAGTCGTCTCTCTGCAGCGGCGGTTAAGAGTTTTGCCGTCTGAGCTTCCTTAGCCCTTGTCGGATCTCGGCACCAAACAGCGTGGGGAAAGGCTGTGCGTGCATGTTGTGTTCGCTATCGCATTTACTGCTTCGCAAGATAATGTTTTTTTTTTTTAATTCTGATGACATTTGCACTTAAAGCCATATCAGACAAGGTGACCGCGTCTAATATGTTATACGCTGAAAGTGAAATGCAGACGCATCTGTTCCACTTCAGATTTCGAGCTCTAATATTATGTTTGGCTTTTTCATAACAAACCTCAATGGTATGTCTGTGATTTACTCCTATGTTATCACAAGTCGTCTTTTATTTCTGTCAGTGGTATTCTCGAAGCCATTCAATAACTGCGTATTTGGTTGCAGTGAGAGTGATCTTCGGTTGTCCATGCTGTATGCTTTATGAACGCACATTGTATGTGTGTCTTTCGCTACACCTTTCGACGTGGCGTTCTTCTTCAATAGCTATCTTTTTGAGCGTATCGATCTATCTATCTATCCCCCTATGACTTTTAGCTCTCCTGGCCGTTTCGATAATGGTATCAGTACCAAAATTGATGACATAAGACTGTATGACGAGCATAACTGAGAAGTCATAACATCAATTTCATGGTCTTGCTGCTCTTGCGGTGGTTTCGTTCTCATGACATATTGAAAAACTGGTATGGTGACTGCAAAAACATGACTTCTTGGCGAATACATGTGAAAGACTTTAGCGTGGAAATCATGACATGCATGTCAGGTAAGTCATGACTACAATCCGCACTCATGGTGCCCTCGCGCCCGTTTTGATAGCTTAATATATACCGAAACTTCGTATTACGGGACGTGAATAGATGACGAAGGTAAATGACACGTCCAAACATGATAGTTATGTTATGCGTGTCATGTAAAACATGACTACATGCTACGCTCATAGCGGGCTCGTGGTCGTTTCGCTAGTTCCGGATATACTAAATTTGGTGTTACGTGACGTCAATGAAGAACGAAGGTATATGAGTGGTGCAAACATGTTAATCATGACATACGTGTAATGAAAGAACATGCCTACATGCCACGCTCATGGTGCGCTTCCGGTCGTTTCGCTAGCTTCAAATATACCAAATTTGTTATTACGGGACGTGAATGAATGCCGAAGGTATGACTGGGGCAAACATGATAATCATGACATGCGTGTCATGTAAAACATGACTGCATCCCGCGCTCATACCATGCTCGCGGCTGTTTCTAGGGCTTCACATATACCGAATTTGGTATCACATGATGTGAATGTACGACGAAGGTAAATGACACGTCTAAACACGATAAACATGATATGCAGGTCATGTATAGTATGACTACATGCTACACTCATAGCGTGCTCGCGGCCGTTTCGCTAGCCCTATATACACCAATTTGGTATCACGTGACATGAACAGATGACGAAGGTAAATGACACGTACAGACAATATAATCATGACATGAAAGTCATGTACGGCATACTTCACGCCAGCCTCGTAACGTTGTCATGATTTGAAATGGACATATAAACCTTCCTCAACCGTGCTTCGCGTATCCTCGCTTCTCACTGTACGTGGGATCTGCAACTTTTTTTCCTGGCCCACTCATCTTTTGTAAAATACTCGGTTTGACAGTTATGTCAAATTAAACGCATTTCATGACACTCTCTGTTCTTTGAAGCGAAAGTATGCGACTGCAAACTTAGGTAGCAACACAAACAAAAGAGACCGAGACGCGGCAGCCTTTTAAGCTTCCTCACTTGCGTATACTTGAACTCGTTCAGAGTACAGCTGGGAAGAAGAAACGGCCTAGTCGGCCAACACAACAGGACAGAGTGCTTGTTCTGTGGTATTTGCCGACTCGGCCGTTTCTTCTTTCCCGTTTCGCGCTTGGCCAGTTCACGTGCGACAAACCAACTCGCCCAATTTTCAGTACTTGTGGACCTCGTTTGTGTGACGTCAAACATTTTTCCTGTGTTTGATAGGCCATTTAGTCATACAATTGGGGGGTATTTCGACGTCTCTTAGCTAAAAAGGAACGATGTCCCGGCATAATTAAGGGGACATTATATAGTATCATTACTCTCAGCCAAAGATGATATTAGAGACAAAAACCACTAACTTTTATTCCCGATTAAGCTTAGTATTTAGCATTAGCTGGTGAAGAACAGTTATATGTCTACGCACTCCAAGTGACACGGCTCTAACACTTACAGTAGTGAAGAACACGTGGTTGTGTTGGCGAGTGAATTCTTAGGCTTTCACCGAGTATAGCAATGTTTCCTGTACTCACACAAGTCTTGCATATGTCTTATCCTGTAAGCGACCTCTGCTACCCAGCTCATGGTAGCAAGGACCTAAAAAGAACTCATGAATTCCGAAAAACTTAGTCTACACTGTTGCAAATGTTCTCGGAAAGGGCCAATCGACTCTCTCAACCAATAGAGCAAACCACGACCCCAGTCATTTCGTTTGACGTGTCCACAAAGTCCTTCTGGAAGCTTTCGCATATCGTAACGTTGTGTCCCACAGAGCCTATGTTTTATCCCCAATCACTTGTTAATTCCACTTGCCGATGTTTAGAAGGCCCGTCCAATACCTTACATCTTCGTTCCATGAATATACCAAGTGATTTCAACTGCAGGCAAACGGTTCCTGTCGTGAAGGTGAAATTCCAGGAAAAGTAAAGAGCACAGATTGGCACCGGTCCCGTGTTCCTTGTCTGTCCTTGTGTTGTTTTGCGCTACAGTTTTTTTTATGTTATGAACCAACTGCCCGATCCCCTCCCAAAACAAGAAAAACGCTTTTGCTACGCTGATCAGGACGTCTTGTGGGGCTTGTAGGTTCATTCAATGCAGAGAAAACTGCGCCAAAATAGAGAAACCCACCACAAAGAAAGAACACTGAACGGATCGAGCGCAGCTACAAACTGTTCTTATTAACTGTGTAGCGTCGGTTAAATCGGGAAACTGAACATAGCTGCGCAGACGTGTCGAAGAACGTCACGTGCTAACGTACATTAGTCATCAAAAAAGACTTACGGCTATCGATTTTCATGTTGATGAATGCTTCCAAGACCTTACAAAAAAGCGAACGTGTTTTAGCAATGCCCCAGTATAATAGGCTGTTGAAATCGTCCTTCACAGCCAAAGGCTGCGTAGTCAGCAGGCAAATTACGCTATTATTACTTAACCGACTCTCCAAAACTGTCGGTACTTCGCACTTCTGTGTGTTCCTTCTATGTGATGTTCTTTTCTAATTCAGCGCATTTTTCCCAGCGTTTTTCTACGCCATGTTCTTATTTCGTTTTAGTACAAGGATATACAGGGTGGGCGCAGCAGAAAAGCCACGAGCATAAGCAGAACTTTTTTTTTTCGAAGTATTTATTGTGTTAATATGCATAAAAAGTGCAGAGGCCGTCAACAAATAGTGTGTGGTTGCGCTTAACAGAGTGACGGAGGCACTGCAAAGAGAGGAGCTCCTCTAGCCCCAAATGGCTTCTTAAGTTTAATACAGACCGCAGATTGCTTTTTGTCTGTGGCCTCGTGACTCACCATACGGACATACTCGCCGTATGCGCATCGTACATGGTCTCATCTGAACATTTCAGGTGTTTCAAAGGCTGTGAGCGTCGGCATGGGTCTCTCTTTTTCAGGGAGTCGGACAACCTGACGTTGAAGCAGATGAAGATGACCTTGGTTCTGCGGCCGCATCCGGTCATAGTCGTCGTTCTTGTTCTACTTGGCGCCCGTCTGCTCCGTATGGCGTGCGCGAATCGTTGCTGAGGTCCTTCTTGTTACTGTCCTTGATTATTGGCACGCTGGAGCAGTTGGGCCGCTTTTCTGCCCTTCCCGACTCCGGGTTGTTCTCCGGGGAGTCGGGCGACGAGACGTTGATTGGGTAGCTAGAATTATAACGTTGAAGCAGACGGTAACAACTTTGGTTCTGTGGCCGCAACCGGTCATAGTCGTCGTTCCTGTTCTGCTTGGCGGCCGTCTGTGATGTAGCGTGCGCGGGGCGTTGCGCAGGTCCTTCCTGTTGCGCGCCTTGATGGTTGGCATGCCGTAGAAGTGGAGCCGCTTTTCTACTCTTCCCGAGTCCGGGATGTTCTCCAGAAACTCGGGTGACGAGACGTTGAAGCAGATGAGGACGACTTCGGTGCTGTGGCCGCAACCGGTCACAGTCGTCGTTTCTGCTCTGCTTGGCGGCTGTCAGCGACGTAGCGTGCGCGGGCCGTTTCGCAGGTTCTTCTTGTTTCCTGCCTTGATGGTTGGCACGCCAAAGCACTGGGACCGCTTCTCTGCCCATCCCGACACCGGGATGTTCCCCAGAGTGTAGGGCGACGTGACGTTGAAGCAGATTAGGATTACCTCGGTGATGCGACTGCAACCGGTCACAGTCGTCGTTTCTGCTCTGCTTGGCGGCTGTCTGCAACGTAGCGTGTGCGGGGCGTTGCGCAGGTCCTTCTTGTTCCCCTCCTTGATGATTTGCACGCAGGAGCAGCGGGACCGCTTCTCTGCCCATCCCGACTTCTGGATGTTCTCCAGGGAGTCGGGCGACGAGACGTTGAAGCAGATGCGTACGACCTCGGTGCTGCGGCCACCATCGGCCATAGTTGTCCTTGTTCTGCTTGGCGGCAGTCTGGGACGTAACGTGCGCGAATCGTTGCACAGGTCCTTCTTGTGCCCCGCCTTGATGGTAGGCATGCTGGAGCAGTGCGGCTGCTTTTCTGTCCTTCCCGACACCGGGATGTTCTCTCGGAAGTCGGGTGACGACGTTGAAGCAGAGGAGTACGACCTCGGTGTCCAGACTAAAAGTCGCTACAACAGGTCTTAGTGCTCCGCTGTGTCCCACAATGCCGACTCCACTTGTTTCTTGTCTTCCTCGATGTCGTTCACGTAGTTACAGAAGGCAGCAGGTTGACAGAACTCGTACTACGAGACTTGAGCGGAGCCCGGGAAAGAGACGTCTTCACTGGGCTTTGCTCTTCTTCTTCTATTTCTTCTTCGCGCACGTTCTTGCAGCCTTGTTCCGAAGGCAATATGTAAGCCTAGCATATGCTGTTCTCACTGAACAGAAGATGTTACATTCGAAGGATACTCTTTGGCTGAAAAAGAGAGCGCACACTTATTTCTATTAATTTCAGGCTACATTAAATTACCATCGTTGGGGTACCCTTAAGCTTCACCTTTAGGAGTTGAACGCGATAACGATATTCTGTGCCTGGTGCTTACTTTTCGAACTTGCTATGCACCCACTACATGGCCTTAAGGGTACAGCAGCGTGTGTGCCTTTGTAGTGGGTGACATGCTTTAATTAAACTATGAAGTAAACACACATATTCTGGCGTCCGATGACAATGTACGCTTCTACCGAGCGCTATTACGACAATTTTTCATGTTATGTTGAAGCATGTACACAGGACGCGTGTGTTGGTAAAGCACGAAAGTTACGTTCCCTGCATTTCCTGACAGAGAAAGGTATTTTCACTGCATTCATAAGCAGGGGCATGGCTGTGTGGTAGAACATTTGCTTGCCACGCAAATGACTGGTATTTGATTCCCACTTAGACACGGAATCTTTTAATATTTCTTAATTTGCATATTTCTCAATTTTTTGTCTCGCAGGCACTATTTTGCGCTCACAACCGCCGACACCGGAACTTCTTCGAAACGAGCTCTTTACCAATATCGCGTTAATATATCGCAGTCTTAGTGTGCCAAAATATTTGCGACAACGCGAGGGAAAAAAGTTGAAGACTGAGAGGACAGTCGACGTTCTCGGTACTGATTTTTGTTTACCAACAGCCGAGCGTACGCTGTGATTTCGTCCGCTTCCGCATTAGTCTTTTTATACGGGAGGGCCGAGTATGGGCGTAAAGCGGTGCACACTCCATCGCGGTTGCTTCCTATTATAGTCGCTGTGGGTTAGAGGAAGAAGAGGAACATAACGTGAACGGACGACGAAAGTACATGACATGTCCAGACATGATAATCATGGCATGAAAGTTATGTATGGCATAATTTACGTCCGCCTCATAACGTTGTGATGATTTTAAAGTGACATATGAACCTTCCTCATTCGTGCTTCGCATATCCTCGATTCTCACTCTACGTGGGATCTGCGTTTTTTTTTCCTGGCCCGCTCATCTTTTGTGAAATACTTGGTTTGACAGTTATGTCAAGTTGAACGCGTTTTTTGACACACTTTGTTCTTCACAGCAAAAGTATGGCGACCGCAGATTTAGGTAGCAACACAAACAGCAGAGACCAAGACGCGGCAGCGTTTTGAGCTTGCTCACTTGCGTATACTTGAACTCGTTCAGTGTGCTGCTGGGAAGAAGAAACGGCCGAGTCGACCAACACAACAGGACAAATTGCTTGTTCTGTTGTGCATACTCGGCCGTTTCTTCTTTCCCGTTATGCACTAGGCCAGTTCAAGTGTGACAAACAAACTCGCCCAGTTTTCAGTACTTGTGGACCTCGTTTGTGTGACGTCAAACATTTTTCTTGTGTTTGATAGGCCACTTTGTCATACCACCAGGGGTATTTCGACGGCTTTCAGCTAAAAAGAACGATGTCCCGTCATATCTTAGGGGACATTGTTTAGTATCATTACTCGCAGCGAAACATGATATTAGAGGCAGAAACCACTAATTTTATTTAGGATTAACGTTATTATTGAGCATTATGTGGTGAAGAACAGTTATAGGTTGACGCACTCCAAGTGACACGGCTCTAACGCTTACAGTGGTGAAGAGCACGTTAATGTGTTGGCGACTGAATTTTTAGGCTTTCAACGAGTATAGCCATGTTTCCTGTACTCACACAAGTGTTGCATATGTCTTATCATGTAAGCGACCTCTGCTACCCAGTTAATGGTAGCAAGGACCTAAAAAGAACACATGGATTTCGAAAAACTTAGGCTACACTGTTGCTAATGTTCTCGGAAAGAGCCAATCGACTCTCTCAACCAACAGAGCAAACCACGACCCCAGTCATTTCGTTTGACGTGTCCACGAAGTCCTTCTGGAAGCTTTCGTATATATTTAGGTTGTGTCCCAGAGAGCTTATGTTTTATCTCAATTCGCTTGTTAATCCCACTTGCCGATTTTTATGATGCCCGTCCAATACCTTACATCTTTGTTCCATGAATACATCAAGTGTTTGCAACTGCAGGCCAACGGTTCCTGTCGTGAAGAAAAAAAATTGCAGCTTAAAACACGAGGAAAGACAACGAGCACCGATTGGCGCCGGTCCTGTGTTCCTTGTCTATCCATGTGTTTTTGCACTACATTTTTAATGTTATGAGCCAACTACCCCACTCTCTCCAAAAACAAGAAAAATGCGTTTGCTACGCTGATCACGACGTCTTGCGGGGCTTGTTGGTTCATTCAATGCAGGGAAAATTGCGCCAATATAGAAAAATACACCACAAAAAAGGAACACTGGACGGATCGAGCGCAGCTACAAACTGTTTTTATTGACTGTAGAGCGTCGGTTAAATCGGGAAACTGAACATAGCTGCGCAGACGTGCCGAGGAACGTCACGTGCCAACGCACATAATTCATCAAAAAAGACAAACAGCTATCGATTTTCATGTTGATGAATGTTTCCAAAACCTTAAAAAATCAAACGTGTTTTAGCTATGCCCCAGTATACTAGACTGTAAAAATCGTCCTTCACAGCCACAGGCTGCGTAGTGAGCAGGCAAATGAACTAATTATTACTTAACCGGCTCTCCAAAACTGTTGGTACTTCGCCCTCGATCTGCTTTAGTGTTCCTTCTATGTGATGTTTTTTTTTCTAATTCAGCGCAGTTTTCCCAGCGTTTGCTACGCTATGCTCTTTTTTTGTTTTAGTACAAGCATACACAGGGTGGGCGCAGCAGAAAAGCCACGAACATAGCAGAGTTTTTTTTTATGTATTTATTGTGTTTCTATGCATAAATAGTGCAGAGGGCGTCAACACATAGTATGTGGTTGCACATAACACAGTGACAAAGGCACTGCAAAGAGAAGAGCTCCTCTAGCCCCAAATGGCTTCTTAAGTTTAGTACAGACCTCATATTCCTCTTTGTCTGTAGCCTCGTTGCTCACCATTCGGACCTACTCGCCGTATGCGCATCGTACTTGGTCTCATCTGAACATTTCAGATCTTTGAAAGGCTGTGAGCGTCGGAATGGGGCTCTCTTTTCCAGGGAGTCGGACAACCTGTCGTTGAAGCAGATAAAGATGACCTTGGTTCTGCGGCCGCATCTGGTCATAGTCGTCGTTCTTGTTCTACTTGCCACCCGTCTGCTCCGTATGGCGTGAGCGAATCGTTGCTGAGGTCCTTCTTGTTACCGGCCTTGATTATTGGCACGCTGGAGCAGTTGGGCCGCTTTTCTGCCCTTCCTGACTCTGGGATGTTCTCCGGGGAATCGGGCGACGAGACGTTGATAAGGTAGCTAGAATTATATTGTTGAAGCAGTCGAGGACGACTTCAGTGCTGTGGACGCAACCGGTCATAGTCGTCGTTCCTGTTCTGCTTGGCGGCCGTCTACGACGTAGCGTGCGCGGAGTGTTGCGCAAGTCCTTCTTGTTCCCCGCCTTGCTGGTTGGCACGCCAGTGCAATGGGACCGGCTCTCTGGCCATCCCGACTCCGGGATGTTCTCCAGGGTGTCGGGCGACAAGACGTCGAAGAAGATAAGGACGACTTCGGTGCTGTGGTCGCAGCCGGTCATAGTCGTCGTTCCTGTCGTGCTTGGCAGCCGTCTACGAAGTAGCGTGCGCGGGGCGTTGCGCAGGTCCTTCTTGTTCCCCGCCTTGATGGATGGCACGCCGGAGCAGTGGAGCCGCTTTTCTACTCTTCCCGAGTCCGGGATGTTCTCCAGAGAGTCGGGCGACGAGACGTTGAAGCAGATGTGGACGACTTCGGTGCTATGGCCACAACCGGTCACAGTCGTCGTTTCTGCTCTGCTTGGCGGCTGTCTGCGACGGAGCGTGCGCGGGCCGTTGCGCAGGTTCTTCTTGTTCCCGACCTTGATGGTTGGCACGCCAAAGCACTGGTACCGCTTCTCTGCCCATCCCGACTCCTGGATGTTCTCCAGGGAGTCGGGCGACGAGACGTTGAAGCAGATGCGTACGACCTCGGTGCTGCGGCCACCATCGGCCATAGTTGTCCTTGTTCTGCTTGGCGGCAGTCTGCGACGTAACGTGCGCGAATCGTTGCACAGGTCCTTCTTGTGCCCCGCCTTGATGGTAGGCATGCTGGAGCAGTGGGGCTGCTTTTCTGTCCTTCCCTACTCCGGGATGTTCTCCAGGGAGTCGGGTGATGACGTTGAAGCAGATGAGTACGACCTCAGTGTGCAGACTGAAAGTGGCTACAACTGGTCTTACTGCTCCGCTTTGTCCCACAAAGCCGACTCGACTTGTTTCCCGTCTACCTCGATGTCTTTCACGAAGTTCCAGAAGGCAGCAGGTTGACAAAACTCGTACTACGAGACTTGAGCGGAAACCGGGAAAGAGACGTCTTCGCAGGTCTTTGCTCTTCTTCTTCTATTTCTTCTTCGTGCACGTTCTTGCAACCTGGTTCCGTAATAGTAAGTAAGCCTGGCATATGCTGTTCTCACTGAACAGAAGATGTTACATTCGAAGGCAACTCATTGGCCGATAAAGACAGCGCACATTTGTTTTTATTTTTTCAGGCTATATAAAATTACAA